CATTTTTAACACCCCTGGTGTTGCTGGGTAATCATGATCGCTTTTGATCATGACAGGCTCTAAACACACTATTAGAAATGGAATCTTGCACCACATTTTTTCACCAGGCGTAAATTCACAGTAATCCACAGTGAGCGTTTAATAAGAACACATCAAAAGAAGGAAGCAACCCAAAACAAAACAGCACAACAGATCTATAGCAGTTGTTCCATTTGGAAATGTTGGTCTCTCCGGCCAGACCTGCATGCGTCAGCCTGCATCCAATAAGTTGTCAGTTTATCTTTCTGTGTCCTGAGATCTTTCCCGTGAGCCTGCATCCTGTTTTGAGGGGTCAGAGGGGACTGCTGTATGGCTGCCAGCTCAGAAGATCTCAGTCCCTTAAGTTTCAAAGAAAGAGATGATAGAGCAGTGTTCTTGGTGGAGAATAGTAATAAACTGTGCTATCTGTGCCCAGGGAGACCACTCAGAGAAACTTTTACTTGCGACAGTGTGAGTTCTATTATTAAGCATCTTCCCAGAACCATGGCAGGATTGCATTTAATGTCCCAATCTTATCTGCTCAGAAAAATTAATTACCTGGGTCATGTTCATTAGGGCATGCAACAGACAATGTTTGAAAACAGGGAAAAAATTTGTCCAGGTAGTCTCTCCCTTTTTCAGTTTGTTTTCCTCCGTTTGGTGCCAAATGAACATGATCCTGGTTAGTTGCATAGCTCCTAAAGCTCATATAGAAAACAAAGACAACAGATTCTGTTTCACGGATAATTTACTTAAGAAAATACAAAACAATATAAATAAATATTTTTACAGTAGTTCAATATAGATCCATTGTAATATTCTTCATATGCTGTACATGTAAAACACAGTGGACAGATAAAAACAGAAGCAAGGGTGGTGCAACTTCTATTTAACATTGCATTAAACTGTATGTAACACTGAAAGTGACATAACACCATCATAATCATTCTCCATTTATGCTAATATCCTTTCTTTATTAGGTCAAAAATGCACAGCCCTATCTTTGATTAGCCTGTATAAGCATGGCATCCAAACTGAACCGCCAGCCTAGCATTTCGCTACACACACGTGTGGCTTAAGATATTCATGACATTATATTATATTATGGTCAATTTATGTAAAACGTTGGTCACTGACTGTAGTCAGAGGTGGATGTCACTTCAAGCAGCAGATTACTTATTTTGTCATATACACTGCTCAAAAAAATAAAGGGAACACTAAAATAACACATCCTAGCTCTGAATGAATGAAATAATCGTATTAAATACTTTTTTCTTTACATAGTTGAATGTGCTGACAACAAAATCACACAAAAATTATCAATGGAAATCAAATTTATCAACCCATGGAGGTCTGGATTTGGAGTCACCCTCAAAATTAAAGTGGAAAACCACACTACAGGCTGATCCAACTTTGATGTAATGTCCTTAAAACAAGTCAAAATGAGGCTCAGTAGTGTGTGTGGCCTCCACGTGCCTGTATGACCTCCCTACAATGCCTGGGCATGCTCCTGATGAGGTGGCGGATGGTCTCCTGAGGGATCTCCTCCCAGACCTGGACTAAAGCATCCACCAACTCCTGGACAGTCTGTGGTGCAACGTGGCGTTAGTGGATGGAGCGAGACATGATGTCCCAGATGTGCTCAATTGGATTCAGGTCTGGGGAATGGGCGGGCCAGTCCATAGCATCAATGCCTTCCTCTTGCAGGAACTGCTGACACACTCCAGCCACATGAGGTCTAGCATTGTCTTGCATTAGGAGGAACCCAGGGCCGACCGCACCAGCATATGGTCTCACAAGGGGTCTGAGGATCTCATCTGGGTACCTAATGGCAGTCAGGCTACCTCTGGCGAGCACATGGAGGGCTGTGCGGCCCCCCAAAGAAATGCCACCCCACACCATGACTGACCCACCGCCAAACCGGTCATGCTGGAGGATGATGCAGGCAGCAGAACGTTCTCCACGGCGTCTCCAGACTCTGTCACGTCTGTCACATGTGCTCAGTGTGAACCTGCTTTCATCTGTGAAGAGCACAGGGCACCAGTGGCGAATTTGCCAATCTTGGTGTTCTCTGACAAATGCCAAACGTCCTGCACGGTGTTGGGCTGTATGCCACTCTCCCACATTTGTGGCCTGCTGGAGGTCATTTTGCAGGGCTCTGGCAGTGCTCCTCCTGCTCCTCCTTGCACAAAGGCGGAGGTAGCAGTCCTGCTGCTGGGTTGTTGCCCTCCTACGGCCTCCTCCACATCTCCTGATGTACTGGCCTTTCTCCTGGTAGCGCCTCCATGCTCTGGACACTACGCTGACAGACACAGCAAACCTTCTTGCCACAGCTCGCATTGATGTGCCATCCTGGATGAGCTGCACTATCTGAGCCACTTCTGTGGGTTGTAGACTCCGTCTCATGCTACCACTAGAGTGAAAGCACCGCCAGCATTCAAAAGTGACCAAAACATCAGCCAGGAAGCATAGGAACTGAGAAGTGGTCTGTGGTCACCACCTGCAAAACCAGTCCTTTATTGGGGGTGTCTTGCTAATTGCCTATAATTTCCACCTGTTGTCTATTCCATTTGCACAACAGCATGTGACATTTATTGTCAATCAGTGTTGCTTCCTAAGTGGACAGTTTGATTTCAAAGAAGTGTGATTGACTTGGAGTTACATTGTGTTGTTTAAGTGTTCCCTTTATTTTTTTGAGCAGTGTACATTAGTTTGACCTTTGACGGTTTCACTTGAAGTTCAGTCATGTGAGCGGGCAAAAGCAGCAAGAGGGTTACCCCAAATGCAGTCACTGTGACAACAGTTAGAAACAGGACAGAACTCTTCTGTAGTGTTATCTCTGGAACAAATATCTATAAATATGGTTCAGGACATATTTCCCTCACCAGGTATTTCCCTTGGCTTGTTTTTCTTGTTTAAAATAGTCCTACCATTAACAAGAAAATAAGTAAGGAACCCTATCCTTCCTTCTATGAGATCCAACTTAGAAATACACTATAATACTGACTTCAGTACGTATGCAACAATGCCCTATGTAAAAGGCAGAAAGCAAACACGTCATGCAATGAACTCTCTACACAGCTTGGTCAGTCCTTGGTTGTCACTTTGTCACTGCTTTGTTACTTTGCTTTGTTACATCACTGACCTGTTGGGGCAAGTGTTCCATTTGCGTAAGGCTTAGGACAATTCTCGTCTGGGGAATCTCTAGTGTTCATGATTGGTCTTGTGGGCTAGGCCTATGCAAATAAACAGGCCAAGATCTCTTTATGAGAACAAATGCAACATGGATAGCTTCCCTGTGAATAACAAACCAGTCTTTCTTCAAAATGACATTGATGGTCTCAAATCCGTGCAATTACGTGAATTTGATTGATATGAAGTTGATCGTGGAGATGGTGGAGATGGTGGTGGGAAAACCTGAATGTTACGCAATCAAGGATTTCAGTCTGGCATGAGTTCACTGCAACAATGATTAAGGGACCAAGCCTATCCAAATTCCCTGTGAAGAAAGCTTGGGGTTGATGTTTGCTCCTCTCACTCTGCTCTGTTATTCAACCGACATACAGAGAAAACCTTGGGCCAAGGGCCAGATTAGAATGCATTAAATAAGGCTTTTGTTTCAGTAAAATGAAACAAGTCCTCCTTTCTGTTAAAGCCTCACTAATCCACTGTATCATTTAACTTATCAAACCGGTAATTTGACTTGACAGCCTCTCTATGTATGGTAGCAACCAGAGAGGATTTCTGGGGGAAAATCTATTTTCGACAAATGCCTGTAACAAGGGAAACCCAGCATTGTGAAATTGCAAATTATTATTTAGTACGGGCTTTTGCAAGAGTGAGTTTATCAATAACAGGAAAGGTATCTGCAGTGCCCTACAAGCTGTGAAAACAAGCTACATTATTTTCTGTCGGTCTTCCGACAGTACTGCTTCCTCTGGAGTTATTGCTTCAATCCTGTTTTGGTTCCCCCATAACACCCCTAGCTCTACCAGTGAAAAATACGAAATTAATATTCACTGCAACAAGGAATTACCCACAGGAGGTGAAATGATTCACGTCTATACAGTACATCCTATTCATGTCCCACAAATAGGATCTGTAAATTCTACAAAATACTGATTGAATACTAAAGTAGTGTCACAGTCATCTATGCTAAAGAACTGCAGCCATGACCTTCAAACCCTGTGGTTTCATAATGATATGCTGATATTGAGATTAGTTGGAGAGAGCTCTCCACTGTGCCATTATATGGCATTGATGGGCATGTTTGCATTATGCGCTCCCTATTTAGTGTCATTTAGTCTATATAACAAAAATACATAGTCAAAAACAGGTTAATAATAATAAAATAAATCTACAAATACAATACAATTAATGTGCAAACTACTGCATTGAGAAAGAGAGGCCTTGGTGTATGGCCATAGGTTTGGACCAGCAAATCTAATGCATATCAGCTGACCCTGTGCAGTCATGAAATATTTTCCCCAGATGGAAATGGCTACATTTCTATATACTGTATGTGCACATAATAATGATATAAAAAGTGACCACATTCACCCTCTTGTGTTTCACATAACTGTCTGTTATTCACTAGAAGAAGAAGAGAAGAGAACAACACCTTCAATTTATGCAACTTCTATAAGCCACAACATGTCACCAATCTGACGCCAAATGAGTCACAGTGTTTCCTGGGTGATCAAATCTGTACTGTCATTGACGTAGTTTCCCTCTCTCCATAAAGTCCTATTGTTGTGGTAATTGTTTTTATGTATTTTTCTTACTTTAACTTCACAGGTGAGCTGAAATATCTAATGGCGCCATTTCCTTCAAGACTTGGCTCCCATGTTCCAGAACTCAACATATTCCCTCCAAAAACGAGTTAAAATTAGGAAATCACATTGAAAGGCACCAACAGGCTCTGGTTTTCTCATCCTAGTAGTGTCCAGCATCTCTTTGTCCCCAATCACAGGACACCTTCTTTAGGCCCTGAAGCTGATGTTGAGCTTGCGCCTTCTGGGGTGGCACACCTTGGATAGCACCACCAGCACCGTGATCAGCACCAAAGCTGTCACCATGATGACGATAATGCTCACGCTCTTACTGTCCAGCTTCTGACACTGCTCTTGCGTCACGCTCCCAATGTTCACCTCCACTGGCACCGAGTTCTCGGTGTACTGGCAGGTTACTGTCGCGATGTCCGGGACGACCACTTCGGAGCGTTGGAGCATATCGAGGAAGCGGGGGTTGCTGCAGCAACTGAGAGGGTTCGAGCCCATGTAGAGGGTTTTGAGCGTCCGCTCCAGGACCAGGACTGTGTTGTACTCCAGGGTCACCAGATTGTTGTTCTGCAGGTTCAGGGACTCGATGGAGGACTCCTTGTTCCAAAGGGGGAGAGTGGTCAGCTTGTTGGTGGACAGGTCCACAAATTTGAGACTACTTAGCAGGGAAAGGTCAGTGTTCAATTCTGGGATGTGGTTTTCTCTCAATGAGAGATGAGTTAGGGAGGTCTCCAGACTAGAGAAAGCATTCTGTTGAACGTCCAAGCCTGGGTTTAGGGACAGGTCCAGCAACCTGAGTGGAGTGCCATTGAAGGCATATGGTGGCAGAACTTCAAGACTGTTTCCAGAAAGGTACAAGAAGTGCAGGCTTGGTATTGATGCAAAGGAGACACAGCTTGGAGGATCCTGGGAGTTGTGGTCTGTCTGGGGTGATTTTCGCTGTGAAGGGCAGACTTTCAGGTAGTTCTGCTGGAGGTGAAGGCCTCTGATGCTGGGCAGTCTTTGGAACATTCCAGAGTCCATTATGCTGAGAAAGTTCCCTTGTAAGAAGAGTTCCTGCAGTGACCGTAGGGTGTTCTCCCCAAACGAGAGGTTTTGTAGGGCATTGTAACTCAGGTCCAGGGTCTTCAGAGAGTTCAGAGGGCTCTCCTGGTCTATAGAAAAGGCCCCGATACAGTTATTACTGACGTTAAGATGCTCAAGGGACACCATGCTGCAAAAGAAAGACGGCGGTATGCTCTTTATCTGGTTGTAGCTCATGTCGAGGTACATGAGCCTTGAGAAGTCCTGGTGTCTGCTCATTCCACCTGACTGTGTGTGAGGTACGAACGTGTCTCTGAAGTGCTCGAGCTCATCAGCTGGTCCTGTGGTATTGACACTCATCAGGCGATTCCTGGACAAATCCAGGTACATGAGCTTGTTCCTTCTGGGGAGAACGGGAAAGTAGTGGATCTTGTTTTCCCTCAGGTCGAGGTAGAGGAGCTTGTACTCTAGGTCTGAATCTGTGGTTTGGAAGCACTCCATGCTGTTCTTACTGAGGTTCAGCACCTTGAGTTTGGAAAGGTTAAAGTCAGTGATGCAAGTGATGGAGTTAATGGACAAATCAAGCTCGGACAGATGGAGCAACGAGTCAAATGCTCCGTCCTCAATCTCTAAGATGACGTTGTTGTGAAGGTCAATGTTTCTCAAGGCCAAAGATCCACAAAAGGTCTCCTTGCCCACTTTGGTGATACTGTTGCCATTCAGAGAAAGGTTCATTAGTGCTGGGGCTTCACTGAGAAAGAAGTCGGTCATCCCCGTGTACAGGCCATTGCCTGAGAGGTCAAGCCTCTCCACAGCCGTAAGAGGTCCAATGCTGGTTTTCGAAACAGCAAAAACATCCAAGTAATTACTGGAGAGGTCCAGCACTTGCAGATTGGTCATGTATTTGAACAGACCCGGCTGGATGAACTGGATCTTGTTGGAGTGGAGGTTCAGATGATGAACGGTGTTGTAGATTGCTAGAACCTCTTGAGTAAGGTTTTGTAGAAGGTTACGAGACAGGTCCAGCTTTTGAATGCCATGAGGAAGCTTGGCTGGAACGGTCCTCAGGTTCAGATCGTTGCAGTACACGTCATTCTGGACCTGTGGACAGAACAAAGAAAAATAACTACATGAGCTTTGACCTTCACGGCGCCACTGCACACTCCCAGAAGACCACAAGTCACCTTGACACTTTACACTATCACAAACCCAAACAGACAAGATAGTTGTTTTACTGGCCATTGTATCTGTGTTCTTGGCAGTCAGGAAAGACTGTGAGGCTTGTGGGGATTTCACCTCATAAAACAAGCTCTTATTACCTCTGGATTTTCAGAACGCCTGGTGGACAAAGTATTTTTCCATATATATTTTAAACATTAAACTATTCACTTATCAGTGTGGCTGGTAATTGAAACCAAATGGCATGAGCCCTCTCTAAATACAACCCATAAAACGCACACACACTCACATAAAACAAAGTGGATTTAGGTTCTTGGCATACTTGTGGTTTTGAAGTCAGCAGCAAGCATTCCTTAGTTCGTTTTTTAGCTAAAAGGCAAGCTTTTCTGAAAGCTTTCTTCTGGCTTTTATGAACAAGTGTTCACTTATACGTTTCTGATTAATATCTTCATATGCATTTAAAAGAACTTGCAAATCACAAGTCATACTGTATATCATCATAGGATCTAAAGATGTTATACCAGAATGTAATACTGTTATAGAAAGGGAAAGAAAGTGAGGTACGTACAGCACATCTGTAAACCACCAAGTTTATGTTTCCATGAACTAAAGCGAATGCACAAACAATAGACTGCATTTAGATATATTCATACTGATACTGTACATTTGTACATCCACTGTATATCAACTGTATACCCACTATATATTTGGAAATCCACTGTTCATTCTCTTACAGCTCTATGCTCACTCTACCTAGTTGTATATAATGTATGTAAACTTTGTTTAAACTCGGCTGTCTGTATTCTGTCTCTAAATGTTGTCTATGACTAGTAGCACCATATCACCAAGTAAAAGTATGTGTAAATGTACTTGGCGAATAAATGTGATTCTAATTCTGATTCTGGACTCTGCCTCAAAAAATAAAAACACCATCTCCCTCTAATCTATTCCATTCAAACTGGCACACTGATATCAGTTCTTGCAGTCTAAAGAGGCAATTTCCAGCCCAGTTCCAAATCATCCTGCCTGTTTATACAGTTTTCCCGTCAGTAGTCAGGAATGCGATACATTCCCAGGACTACAGCAATATGAATTTCATATCAGATATTGCTTTCGTATGTCTTCTCTAACATGATCTCACGGTCTGACTTCAGCATTCGACGTTTGTCCATGGGGGATAAATGTCCAACTCGACGGTTATGTTTCGGCATTAATTCTGACTGGTTAAGGTAAGGATTAAGGTTTGGGATAGGGTTAAAATAGAAACAACTCAACGTTATGTTTAGGCATTTATTACGACTGGTTAAGTTAAGGGTTAAGGTTTGGGATAGGGTTAAAACAGAAACATTTTTAACGAGTGCCTAGCACTGGGATTGAACCCGCGATCCTCAGAGCCGTAGCTTGCGGTTCAAGCCCCTCCTCTATCCCCATCCACAACGCGCTAGCAAGCCGCGAGCCTACTAGATGGTAATAGCCGCTCACGTTGCCCCTAGTGGATGGTATTGAAGGCATCTCCCGATGTCCTCGGGACATGGACAAACATTGAATAATGAAGGACAAATGTTGAATACTGAAGTGGATCTGGTGTGACCTGGCTGGTCTCCGCAAAGGGTGGAATAAGGAGAGAAGGAAAACACCAAAGGGCTGTTCTATGGACTCAGGGCAGAAAGCAATGCCTGAGCCTCTTTTAGTAAAGGACTAACAAAGGACACTATGTAGCATCAGGTCCAGATTGATAGTACCTGAGAGAGGGAACATTCCCCTTACAGAAAGCAGCCCTGAGGCTTTCAGCTCGTTAATTTGATCCGTTTGGCTGTGGACATAGAGACGCTTCATCCAAATTCGGCGCTAGACCGAGATTACACAACAACAGGCAGAGGAAGTCAGTCAGTATACCCAAGCTGCCAAGAAGAGTCTGACTTTAAGTCCAGCTATGTCTAAACACCCACATTAATGTAAGTGCTTGGACGATGAGAGTTGAATACACTGTCTGCAAGTGATTTGAGACATCACAATCACAGTGCAGAGCTGTGAGGTAATGGCACACGTGCCTCCTCTAAGACTATAGTTTGCTTTTATCTTGCCTGGGCACATTTACTTATTCTTCTCCATCTCAAAATGAAACAGTGTACTGTAGGTGTGACTACTCATGGGTTATGTGGTCAAACTGTATGTTCTGTTATCTGCGGTTCAGAGCAGGAGGAAACAGCATGGCTAGAATAACAAAAAGGATCGGTTTAATATCACAAGACTCCAGTAGAAATGTTTTATGCCCCTGGACAATTCGAAAGTACCTGATATACTGTACTTCGGATATACAATACATGAGAGGTTTGTGAGAAAACTGCCAAAACTCTCAGATAACAACATCAAGGTACACACTACCCAATGCGCACAGACGTCAATTCAACGTCTATTCCACGTTGGTTCAACGTACTTTCCTTGAAATGAAGTGGAAACAATGTTGATTCAACAAGTGTGTACCCAGTGGGTATGCTAAAAGTGCAGTTTTGCAAATGTTTAGTAAAATATAGATATAATAATACTCAGAACTATTCTTGGTCAAATTCAAAACAACATTAAAACATAGGATACACTATCAAAACCGATTACAGAAACATCAGTTATCAGCAATTATCAACACTATCCTCCCCTCTATGTTATTAAAATCAGGGGTCTCACTTTAAATGAAAACCCCATAAAATAAGTGGCCCATAATACTTATTTATTTTCTTGCACATACTTTAGAAGTTTGCGAAAAAGTGCATTACAAATTAAATTTATTATTATTATTACATGGCAGTTACATATTTTACACATAGTTTAAATACTTTCAGTTGGCATACTATTTGAAAGCTATGAAAACATTCCAAAAGCCTGTTGCTGCAGCAACTCACTTACCATTTGGCAGGGGGCGAGCTGGCGTGGGGGATGTAACAAGGATGCTGCCACATCACTGACGATTGCCAGGACCAGCCAGAGGTAGGCTGCCATGGTGCTGTGACACAGAGAGAGAGCACACATGAGAGCAGGAAACACACTGATGGGTTTATGACATGAACTGAGACCTGTTATTTATTCCACTTGCAACGTCATATCGCTGCTACTAACAATCCATGACTGAGCTTAACCATGCATGTCTTGGTCCGTTTAGGTAGGTCCGCACATCCAAGCCTTTGCTTTGAATACTTTATAGGCATATTAAATTGTGATTATTTCTTAAATCATGAGAATGCTTTTGTTGGTTAGTTACCTCAATGTCTCTGGTGTCCACTGACCGCCAATAACATTTGCAAACTTAATCAATCACAATATGACCCTACATGAGAATATGGAATATTAAACAATATTACAAAGAATGAAAGTAAGAGAAAGATTGGTTTGCTCTATAAGTGTAATTGCAGTGGACACTTACAACATGCTACCATGCTACTATATTTAGTACTTGTTCCTCTCAGGCTTGTTTTTAGTCTTAAGTGACGCAAAAGGAAACTCCCACTGATCACTCAAGCCAAGATCTAAAAGGTTATTAATTACTATAGGAACAAAGATAGTATTTAACCAACAACAAGGACTTGTTTTGGTTCTCACAGCTGAAGAGCTGACATTGCATATCATGCATCTTTACTGTCTCACCACAAATAGTAGACATTAATAGACATGTCTGTGTCATACTGTACCTACAGCAACAATCAAGACTTGTATTGCATGACTTTTCTTTGCCTTGAGCACAATGCTGTCCACATCACTCAGGTAACATAGGAAAATACCCTCTGAATTCTCAGTGAATTATGCTCTCCTCCAAGACTCCAAGACTTCACAATAGCCCATGAGAACATAACACCCCTACCCAGCAAGCACAAAAACATTTCACACATTTGCTCTCATATATTAATCTGTACACCCATCCAGCTCTTTTCTCATTATCTTCCTTACACGTTTACATAGAACATTCCTTCCCCTATTCCACAACCTCCACTGCTAAGTGTATCGTTCTCCTCTCCTCTTCCCTCTGTTGCACAGCTGAGGACCATTCTACCATTTTCCAAGACATTCTTCCCATTTACCCTAAACAGCAAGCAACAGGAACCACGCACATCATAATTAGATATGATCTAAAGTCGTCCATAGGTGTTTACCTCTTCAAAATGGTTACTTTCCCATGCAGAACCTTCTGCTCATGCTGCTGCTCTCACATCCTCACTGACACACACACTCCCACAAACTCTCTCACACACAGCAGACTCTACCCCGCACCTTTTCGCGCTGCGCTGTACCCGGGCGAGAATACCTGCATCATTGTTGGTTTTTCCCCCGTACCTTTTTTTTTAGGGAAATACCACCCCTTACCTTTTTTTAGGGAAATACCTTACATGGGATTTGGAAGTCCATTTTCTCCGTACTTCCTCCAATTTCACACTAATTTCTCTCTCTCTTTATCAATCTCTTTTTCACTCTGTATCTCCCTCTCCCTCTCTTCGCTTCTCCCTCGCTCTTCCTTTCTCTCTTTCTTCACCTCCCTCTCTTCATCTATTGCTCATCAGTCAGAAGAACTGGGTCCTAACTCTTCGCGGCTTGTCGTTCCCACATGTTGGCAGTTGCTCATTCTGGAACAACTGTGTACATAGGGAGGTTATAAATTCCTTGAATCTTTTTGTAAACCGTTAGGCATGTACACACATAAACTTCAGAAAGCGCTCGGCTGAGAGGCTATTTATTATGTGGTCTCTGTAGTCTCCGTGGCCAGCCAAGTTATCATAAACTAACCAGATTGTTATGCTATTCTTCCGAGAAAGACAAACATACATATTCACAAGACGTACACTTTGATAAGTAACATGTCATGGGCCAACTTTCAAATACTGTTGAAGCCTCAACTGAGGATGCGAAAGACACTCACATGCGCATGCACGCACACACACACGAACGCACACGCACGTCCGCATAAACGCTCACCCTTTCCATCCATAAAGGCGACGTCTTTTAAAGTGTTGTACCATTCCAGAATTGAATGTCAGAAATATGTTACTCTCTTCCCTAGTTCATACAGAGGTGTACATTAAGTGAAGTGAGTGTCCATCCGTGGCAATTATTGGCAGACTAAATAGCCTTGGGTTCACCAACTACTTCTCAGATAGAGTTCAATGTGTCAAATCGGAGGGCCTTTTGTCTGGACCTCTGGCAGTCTCTATGGGGGTGCCACAGGGTTCAATTCTACGCAGACGACACCATTTTGTATACATATGGCCCTTCATTGGACACTGTGTTAACAAACCTCCAAACGAGCTTCAATGCAATACAACACTCCTTCCGTGGCCTCCAACTGCTCTTAAACGCTAGTAAAACTAAATGCATGCTCTTCAATCAAACGCTGCTTGCACCCGCCTGCCCGACTAGAATCACTACTCTCGACGGCTCTGAATTAGACTGTAAACTCTCCTTCCAGATTCACATTAAGCATCTCCAATCCAAAGTTAAATCTAGAATCGGCTTCCTATTTCGCAAACAAAGCCTCCTTCACTCATGCTGCTAAACATGCCCTCGTAAAACGGACTATCCTACTGATCCTTGACTTGGCGATGTCATTAACAAAATAGCTTCCAACACTCTACTCAGCTAATTGGATGTAGTCTATCACAGTGCCATCCGTTTTGTCACCAAAGCCCCATATACTACCCACCATTGTGACCTGTACGCTCTCGTTGGCTGGCCCTCACTACATATTCGTCGCCAAACTCACTGGCTCCAGGTCATCTATAAATCCCTTCTAGGCAAATCCCCGCTTTATCTTAGCTCATTGGTCACCATAGCAACACCCACCCTTATTATGCGTTCCAGAAGGTATATCTCACTGGTCATCCCCAAAGCCAACACCTCCTTTGGTCGCCATTCCTTCCAGTTCTCTGCTACAAATGACTGGAACGAACTGCAAAAATCTCTGAAGCTGGAGACACTTATCTCCCTCACTATCTTTAAGCATCAGTTGTCAGAGCAACTTACTGATCACTGCACCTGTACACAGCCCATCTGTAATTAGCTCACCCAACTACCTCATCCCCATATTGTTATTTACAGTGGGGAAAAAAAGTATTTAGTCAGCCACCAATTGTGCAAGTTCTCCCACTTAAAAAGATGAGAGAGGCCTGTAATTTTCATCATAGGTACACGTCAACTATGACAGACATAGTTGACGTGGGGAGCAGCAGTCGGGAGAGGACGTGTTTTCTCTAGCTCTCTAGCTGGAGGTAAGCAAACTTCTCATTTGGTGTTGAGTATAGCTTAACCATGTATTAGATCGTAGGTTGGTAGTTAGTTGTAGTTGTAGTTAGGTATTGTATTTATTATAGGTTAGTATTGTTGTTATTCTAGGTTTCCGTAGGTTATTGTAGGCTAGTATTGAAGCTCGAGGCTAGCTAGCTAGCGGGTAGCTACTGGTAACGATTAGCAACGATTAGCAACGGTGGAGAGCTTCCCATATGGTGTTGAGTAAAGCTTAACCATGTATTAGATCGTAGGTTGGTAGTTAGTTGTAGTTAGGCATTGTATTGATCATAGGCTAGTTTTGTTGTTATTGTAGGTTTCCGTAGGTAATTGTAGGTTAGTATCGAAGCACGAGGCTAGCTAGCTAGCGGGTAGCTACTGGTAACGATTAGCTGTTCCCACTGTTAAATGTGCTTCTAGCCAACGTTTAATTTTTGCTGCGTTCTGCGTTATGTAAGGAACTAGACACGGACATGAATTATCTGTTTAGTGTGCTAACACACTCTTGGCAGTTTGTTGTAACCAAGTATTGGTGCTAAATTGTGTGTTAAAGGATGCTAGCTTGCTAGTTAGCTACGGCGTCATAGCTAGGTATCGTGGGTAGCTACTGTGTCTTGGCAGTGTCTTCCGCCGTGCCGGCTGTAGCACGAAGCGAGCTAATTAGCCGTTTTTTCGAACAGAGTCAGAGTCAACACAGTAGCCATTGTGTGCCGGGTGTAGCACGAAGCTAGCTAGCTAGCCGTTCTTCAAACAAAGCCAACACAGTGGCCACTGCTAGCTACCCAGCACGACCAGCGAACGGTGCGGTAGTAGCTAATTACAATATACTTGTCCTAGCTAGCCAACGTTGAATCATTGCTGCGTCATGAAAGGAACTTGACACAGACACGAATGATCTGTTTAGTGTGTTATCACACTATTGGTGGTTTGCTGTGACCAAGTGTTTGTGCTTGGCTGTGTGTTACTGGATGCTGGCATGCTGGTTAGCTAGTTAACACACTATTGGTGGTTTGTTGTGAGTATTGGTGCTTAACTGTGTGTTAAACTGTGTGTTATTGGATGCTAGCATGCTAGTCAGCTATGGTGTCATAGTTGGCTAGCTGAATAAAGTGGGTTGGGTCTATTCCTTTAAACATTGAACAACTGTGGTTCACAACAATTCTGATTTCTAAAGGTGGAAGTTGGGAGAGTTTTTGTTCGGGTGGTTCAGTGAAACAATTTTAGTTTCTGAGGTAGAAGATTTTTGGTGAGGGAGGCCCCCCTCTCTCCTCTCCCAGATGCTTAGCTCATTTCATTCCGATCTCCTCTGCATTTTTGTAGCCATTTGCTACAGCCTGTCAACTATGCCTCTGCCTATCCCTGTTCTCTCCTCTCTGCACAGGCTACACAAACAACGCACAACACCGCGCGGCTGCTGCCTCTCTAACCTGGTGGTCCCTGCACGCACCCCTCACCTGGAGTTCCAGGTCGCAGGCAGCCTCTGGAACTGCCGTTCTGCTGCCAACAAAGCTGACTTCATCCCAGCCTATGCCAACCTCCAGTCCCTCGACTTCCTGGCGCTGACGGAAACATGGATCACCACTGAAAACACGGCTACTCCTACTGCTCTCTCCTCGTCTGACCATGTGTTCTCGCATACCCCGAGAGCATCTGGTCAGAGGGGTGGTGGTACAGGAATCCTCATCTCTCCCAAGTGGACATTCTCAATTTTTCCCCTAACCCATCTGTCTATCTCC